TGGCAGACTGATGCTCGTGGCAGCTAGGTCAGCAATGGACATCTTGGAAGACTGATGCTCGTGGCAGCTAGGTCAGCAATGGACATCTTGGCAGACTACGATCCTCGTGGCAGCTTGGTCAGCAACGGACATCTTTGAAAATGTGGTCCCCAAGAAGACTGACGATGAAGTACTCAATGCAAAGCCTAGTTTTAAACATAAATTGAAATGTCTTTACTCTTATGGTCAAATTAACATAGGTATTTTACTTTAGTTAGAGGCAGTGTTTGATATTACTGGGTGAAGTTTTATAACTATTTGCTACGCAAATCTCAGTAAACCTCCCGAGTCATTTACAAAAATTTCATCATTTTACAAAATTCTTAAAAACTTTTAACGATGTTCATATCAGTCCGAACATTTAATTCCTACTTACAGGACCTCTGAGCCATGTGCGTGCTTTTCAAATATCTATCACAGAAATCTATATCAACAAAGACAGACGAAATTTAAATGAGAACGAAATTTCAATTACCAAAAAACTTGAAATAACCACGGAATTAAGAGATTTACAGTCGGGTATTCGTAAGTTATTTTGGAGCTTTGGAGAAATGACCAAATTTCATTAGCCTCCTAATCATAGATAATTGGCTTTTATTGGTTGATAATTGGCTTCTATCAACAGAAGTATACAACCAAGTAACTAAATGAATCACAAATACTTTACATTGCTAAATAATTAAAAATACTGTTACATTTACGTAACTTTAAAGATTGTTTAGATTTAGAGAGAATATTAAAAAATGGAATTTTCAATTTTCAGTTCAATGCGAAATTTTTATTGAGAAAAACGTTTTACTAATAAGAAGCAATGTTACACGAATATTGTCAAATGTTTTACAAATTCTTGAGATTTTATTATGCTTTTTATATCATGTAATTATAAAATGGTCAAAGTTAGAAAGTCTATTTTAGAGAGACTCACGATTTCGGGAATAGTCCACTGTAGCGTTAAAAAACCAATTAAGAGCAGTGGTGCCCCCCCCCCGAGCGTAAGCCTTCCAATGATGCTACCTAAGCATAGGCTGATAGATACCAATTCTGCTCTTCGCTGTAACCGACCACAGTCCTGACGTAAAATATCCTCAGCCGGATCATGGTTTAGAAGCTCGTTACCATCAGACTGATCGTGGAAGGATTTACGCAATTTTTAAGACTTAAAATTAAAAATTTAAATGTAAAGTTTAAAAATGTATAAAATATTCGTCAAAATATGTTCGAAACTACACATGTTTCATGCCACGCTAATGGCTATACAGTAAATTCTAATTCATAAATTTCAAAATACCTAAATTAATGCTATAAAATAGTTAAAAACTTGGGTAATAATTTCAAAAAGAGAATTAACTATACATTAATATTGAATTTTTAAAGAAAAATTTAGTATTCTCAAGGCTTGATAAAAATAACAAATTCACAGTCGCACCCTAGCTCTTAGTTCATCGCCAACATTATACAAAATCTACATGCAAAGTTTCAAGCAAGTCTAAAGTAAACTATTATCATGTGTGATGGCGTAAAAATCTCCAAACTTACGTTCTGGAAATGCATTTAAATTGTAACAAAATCCGGAGAGCAAAAACTCGAAATTTTCAGAAAATGATATGTCTTTATATAAAGTTTATATAATATATAATAAATTGAAAATTTATTCTTTTAATTTACTCAGACAAAAAGGTTAAATTTTCAAAGCTTAAAAATATTCAAGTGTCTCTATGAGTCTACTTTCATTTGTGAGTGCGAAAAAATTAATATCATTTCAAAAGATGGATCAAAAGTTTAAAAGGTTTTTAAAAGCTAATGAATACAACGTTCTAACGATGAAATTTTAAACAGTAGAATAAAATTCTTAGAATAAAATTTCTATTAAACAATTCATTGATCAGATCGAAATAATTCTTAACTTCCTTACCCAATCTAAATCGGATAATGATGACCAATATTCTTCTGTAAGGAGTAGAGCTTTTTAATCTAGAATACGCAACTTTGTGTAGTAAAGCATCAAACATCTATTTTCAGGTAGCTTCTTGGATCCTGCAAGAAAATAGGAAACCTGTCATTATAAATATAAAATTTGTTGCATGAACAGTGGAGCATTTTTTTACACTTTAACGTAATATACTTTAAGTTCGCTGATGAACATAGTATACTTATAACTAATAAATCGATAATATTNCTAATAGATAGATAATATTAAACTAATACTACGACAATACTAGAGTTCGATGCTATATATTCAGGTGGTTAAATTAAAATCTCCAATTCCGAGAAGAACTGAAAAAAAATAAAAGACTTAATATTTTAGTTCATTTTACAGTTCTCTGACAAATTTCTTGCCTGAATGAGATTTTAACTGTTTCGAATCTGTTTAACTTCAGAAGTCCTGAAAAATTTATTAGTTTGACAGTTACAGAAGAACCTAACGATAATTTTAGATTGATATTCGTAGCTAGCTGTGGTTGACCTACGAATGAAATTTAAAGTACGCAGTTAACTCCCCAACCTCATAGAAGGTTAAAGTGCATTTCTTTGCATCGAATAAAATCATGAAATAGATTATACACAAAATGAAAATAATCTAACTTAACACAAGCTAACATGCTAAATCTTTAGTTTTCAGTCACTAGCCAAATTAGACGCACTCTAAGATTCTACGTAAAATCTTAATTATCAGGTGATGCTCTATACAGCTGTATTTTTTTTACGCAGCTGAAATCTGTTTGTACTTTTTTTTTATCTTCGTTTGTAAATTGATTTCCATTGTTATGCAATACGGTGAAAAATTATTAATGCAAATAGGAATATATATAAAAATCTCCTAAATAAAACCCATTACATGTGTGTTGAAGTATAAAAATATTGCATATAAAGTCGTGCAAAACATGTTTAAAAAACTACAGCGCGTCTCATAATTTGGTCTAATTATTATAACATACTAAGACTTTATTGAATAAATATTCTATATTTACATAATATGTAGCCTAATTTATCCTATCGTCGAATTTATGTTATTTATAGTCTAATTCAGTCAATTGATACACTAACGTAAACGAGTACAAACGGGTTGCGTAAAAACAATAATGCTGTATCGTATGATCAAGATTTTACATAGAATCTTGAAATGCGTCTAATAATACGGTCAGGTACAGTAGGTAAAATTAATTGCACCGGCTGAAGGTTGTCACATTTGCACAACTACATACGAACTAATTAACTGCATAACGATATGAAAGATTTCTAGATTTCAGTGCCAGTAAAATAGAATTAGATACCTTGCCTTTCAACATAAATTGTGAAACAGTGAGGTTGGATTTGCAGCTTTAATTAATTTAGTTTCAATGTAGCAATCTGAAACAGTTGCTTCTAAATATGCCACAGTTGCAAATTACCAAACACTAGTTTCCCAAATCTAAACTTTCATGCCAGAAAATCAGTACTATGCTTGCTTCATTTTATACGCGTGAACAAGTGTTTAACTATTAAACCTTTGAAAAAAATCATTTCAGAAGTAGACTAACAGACAAGCATTTAGCCTCGTACCTTAAAATAAGTACACCTCACTTCGACACTCAATATAAGTAACTTTTAAAAATTAAATCGTAATTTCATTCGTCAAATATTTTCAAACTTTTATATAGTTTTGTATTTTAGAAGATTTTACATAGCCCACTAAACTTCAGATTTGTTGAAAAAGCACTCATCCCTGCTCTAGGGCTAACAAAATTGACCGAAAAAAAAAGATTGCCCTTTCTCTCGTCGACCAGAGACAAATCCTGTTCTAAACAACGACACCACACCTAAACTTCAAATAGTTATACCTCGTTACAGTAGTCACCGTCACGGGTCCAGACGAATGGCTAGGGAAGTTCTTACTTTTGACAAACTATAGCTTAACCCCTTAACAGTGACATATTTCAGAAAAATTGACGAAAAATGGAAAATTTAACTCTTTAATTTTGTTCTTTATATTATTATAGTTAATATATAGTATATATATTATAAATTAAAATTGTTTTATTACAAAAATAACAGTGTAAATGCAATAACTACTGTATTTATAACTTTTGCATACACATAAAAGGTAATGGATTACACACACATCTTATTCAATTAAACAAAATTTTGAAGCTAAATATAATATAATTAGTATAATATAAAAATAAGATTTTCAATACATAAATTTTACAAGTCTTTTAGTGTATGGTATATTCCAAAACCCCCACCCACATTTCCTTCCCTCGACTGAAGTCATTATCGGTGAAAAACTAGAACTCCTCTTATCAGGTAAATAGTGAGTTCAGTATTCTAAGGTAGAAATTAACTAAGCTCGGTCTTCACAAAGATTTTGTTAAACAAAATTAAAAGTTTATGCAACCTAAATTTTGAAGAAAAACATTTATAGCACTAAACTACATAATTAAGCTTGAATATACAATATTTTGGAATTGAGTGGGAAGTCTATTAAGTTTGAAACAGTCACAAAACTTTATAATTCAATATCGGAGGGGGAAAATTGCAAAGTTTTAAAAGCAGACTGTTATATATAGTATTTAAAACATGTGTAATGTCTAGTATTCAAAAACTAATAATCACGTTAAATACTGTGAAATAAAATATATATAAAAGATTAAAACTATTGTTTATTAAAACTTTAGTTTGACTGTTCTTCGTCAACAATAGATCGCAATTTTATTTCAAGTCGTTTTTACTCAATAATCTAAAGAGAATTTTAACTAAGCGAAATTGATAAATTTAAAAGTAATACTTTAAATAAGTCAATATCCCACCGAAATATTCGAAAAAAGAACCATTTTTAAGTTTAACAAGAGAACAAAGTTAATAAAAGAGGTATATTAATCATACTTAATACCAATCCCGAATTTTGGACAATTTCAAGCATACCATCAATTATCTCGAAAAACTTTAAGTGTATGTAAAAGCAAATTAGAAAAAGACTTACTGTAAAGTTCTGCAATAATAACACGAGACTTAGAAACAGGCATGATTTCCTTCTTTGTATCTAAAATTGGACGGAATACACTAGTCTACAAACTCGTAAAAAAAACCCCCACAACAACAAAGCACAGATACGAAGAGCTCGTTTGGTACCAGTCTCGTCCGTATTTTATATTCCTTAATATCGATAACGATTGGCAATTATTGTCAATCAAAGTCGAATTGAGTTGATGATGAAGAGGATCCATGCTACTCGCTTTTTTGGGGCCTTCCTGTGCCGAGCGTCATCACCTGCCAAAAGTTCTGCAGTGTGGAGGAAGCGGGTTCGAATCCCGCCCTACCATGGATGTGTCTTCGTTCTTTCCTTATTTAAATTGTACTATCTGTCTTTCTACTTGGTAAAGGTTCCGCAGTGGACTGATCGTTGAGACATGGTTCCTAGCAGATCACCGAAGTCAACCATCACTGGCTGCGGTCAGTGTGCGGATGGGTGACCACTTGGATCAGTCTGCGTAGGTACCGAGGTTGTGCGGTATGGGTCCTCGTTAAACTGTTCTGCCGTAAAGTGCTCGACTTCGCGTGCAGGTCGTCGGAGTACCGAAGCGGGGGTGCCATCCCCTTTACAGAGGATCAATATTGTGATAGCATGTCTTTGGATCCTCCTCAGGGATGTTTCCCAAACAGTCGCCAATAGCCCATTGTGCAGCTCTATGCAATGTACACGAACTACAACAACAATCACATTGTTGTATTCGACGAGTTCACAATTTATTCAATCACAATCCATTTCGGCGTACCTTCAGTTCATAGAGTATGAAAGCACCAATCATCTGACATGATTGATGAAATACTTGTTGCGCATGTGCGTCTATTGAGCTGGGTTCGTTGACATTATCAAACTCTGCTGCATTTTCCAAGATTTCAGGCTTCATATTTCTCCCTCTGATATCGAACCGAAAAATCTTTTGATCATTTTATAATGGTTAATGTAATCTAGAAAAAGAGTTCTTTAC